TTTATCATTTAAAATAAGTGATCAACCCAGATATTAGTGAGTTCAAGATTTTTCTGTAATAGTAGCAACGGAAGCCAATGTAACAGTCATTCAATGCTCATGATATTCTAGCACTATGCTAAGCATTTCATAGGAAATATATTATTTAACCTTAACAGTGTGAGATAGGCAGGTAATATTTCTATTCAATACACAGGTAAATCATGGTAAGCAAAGGTATAGGAACCTGCCCAATGTTGCTCAGTTAGACAGTCATGGTCATGGGTCTGACTCCAAAAAAAAGGTGTTCTTAGTGACTGTGAAACACAAAAACATCACAAGGATGGCCTCCGAAGGCAGCAGATGAGGCAACTATTATAAAAGGTCATTGTATTGCTCATTGCTCAATCAGTGTGTATTCACAAGTCTGCACATTCAAATTTGTATAAAAATACATTCCCATATGTAGAAATAGTGAAAAATAAAGAGAAACTAGATGCCATGAGTACTCAGGGGCCCACAGCCCACTTGTTATAACTTAACAGAAACCAGGACCAGCCTTATCTAAAGGCTGCAAGGCAGGTAGGCGCCGGTCAAGCTTCACAGATCAAGCTGTAAACTGGCTTTACGGTCAGAACTCCTGACCACCCTGAGGGCCCGATACCAGGAAATCTTTAGAAAACATCTGTGCTTCTGAGGCCACCTCCCATTTAGCAATCCCACTTCCCCTCAGCCCCGGCCCTTACCCCATATCTCTGCATACCTTTGAAATTACTGGTAAAATTACTATGTGTGTTTGAAATTAACCAATAACCGCGTTTCTGCTTCTGTACCCTGCTTCTGCCTTATAAAAACCCCCTGAACTCAACCTGGGGCGCGCAAGTCCTCCGAGGAGACTCTGTGCCCACAGGTACCTGTGTCCTGAATAAACCTCTTGCTGTTGCAACCCAAAGGCCGTGACTTGTCCTCCGTGGTTTCACTCTTACAAAAGAAGGAAAACAGAAAAGCAGAAATGAGCTGTCCGTGCTGTCCGCAGACGCCCGTGCATTGTAGTTCTGTGGTAGTTTTTTCCCATAGGAGAAAATGGCAACTCACATGGGCCACATCGCCCTCCTAGGAATTCCCATGCTTTTCTCTGATTTGTTAGTGTTTCTACCACCCATGGTTTAAGCAGTCCATGCACAGTTTGTAGTAGAAAAGGCTAAGGCACGTCAAGTGTCAAGCTTTCAGACCTCCGTGCGTCCATGACCCTTCACGCTTCCTGTACTATCTTCACCTCACTCTTTAGAGCAACTGGTAAGAATATACTCGTTCATTTTCCTTTTCTTTCTCTTCATTCGCAGGATTCGCGCTACGTGAGTTCCCATTGCTTACCTCCTCTTTGACCGGAAGACAGTTTCCTGCAAACCCTTGGGACAAACCAAGCTGAAGTCCACTCGTTCAGATTAAAACCTGTTTTGTCAATGTCAAGATCACCCTTTTCCAGATTTGCAAAGGTTACTCCTCAGAATTCATCAGAGAATACACACTGTCTCTAGCCAGAAACTACTTCACTAGACCCTCTTTTGTGAACTTACACATAGCCTTGAAGCTCTACGATGTTGAGAGAGCCAGTTATGGTCTATTAAATATTTCTACCATGGTGTTTCTTACATGGCCATTGTAACTTTTATAAAACTCATGTAATATTTTGGTGAACTTGAATATAAGACTTCATGATGCATTTCTTTCCAATTATTTTTCTGAATAAGATTAGATTAAAACTCTCACTCTAAATCACTATATCTTTCATAAATAATTCTATTTTTCATCCCCTGTGGCCTGATTTCACCTGGTACCTATGTTTCTCCTCTCAACAGCACAAGAAGTGACCTACCCCCTCCACAGGAGACAGAGCACTGGGAGTGCATGGTGGCCCATGTGTAGCTGGGCTGGGCAGCATGTGTCTTCTTAGCACCTGAGTGCGGCAGTGAGAACTCCCAGGCTACACCGGGGTTCCTGCCCTGGAACAGGAGCTACAAAAGAAGAAAGGGGGAAATAAAGTGAATTAAGTAACATCTGTAAGTACATGCTAAATAGTTCGCTTTAAACTATATAAAGCGAGATTGCTTTAAAGTATATAAAGCGAGATTGCTTTAAACTATATAAAGCGAGAATAACGTGCACAGAAGCCAGTCATGATGACAAAACAAACACAGTCCATCAGAATATACATCAGCTGTAGCCAGAAAAATCATCTTCTAAACATATGGAGAACACACACACAAGCACATAAATGCATGCATTAGAACCTGTGGAGAAATTAACACCTTTCAAGACCAGTGCCATTTGGAGCAATTGTTAACTACAAGCTAGCATGACAGAAGATAGGTAATTCTACACCCAGGGGAGGCAGAAAGGCAGTCTCAATCAAAAGGCAGAGGAGCCAATGAGTTTCACAGAATGAGTGACTGAAAAGAGGAAGAGGAAAGAGCTCTCCACGTCCAACACAGTAAGTCAGCAAAAGCCTGATATGAATAAGAGCAAAGAGTGTATCAGCAAAACCCTACTACTATGAACAAGATAAAAGAGAAAGGAAGAAAAAAACCACCAGTGTTTGAAACAATCAGGAAAAGAACTAACAATGTAAGACTTGGCAAACCCCTCTCAATGCTAAAATGTAAGTGATCTTAACTCTGCAGTTAAATGATACAGACAAGCTGATTTGACTACGAATTAAGGATTTACAGTTTTCTTCAAAAAACACATGCCCCTGACAAAGGCATGGAGGACCTGAAGGGACACAAGCGGAGACACAGGACAGGAACTTCAAACAGAACAAGCAGAAGGACATATACTAATATCTGTCAAGGTGGACATCACATCAAGCTTGGTCAGAAGAGATGAAGGTCACTACGTATTCACAAAGGGAACATTCCACCAAGATGATAAGTGTAAACACATGGGCATCAAAATTCACAACTCGGGGCTGAAGAGATGGTTTAGTGATTAAGAGAAACCCATGCAGAGGACATAGGTTTGGTTCCCAGCACACAAGGTGTAGCTAATAACCTTCTGCACCTCCAGTTCCAGGGGATCTGATGCCCTCTTCTGGCCTCTATGGGCATTGCATGCATGTGGTGCACCTACATACATGCACGGAAAATGCTCATACATGTAAAATTAAACTAGATTAAAAAAATTAAAAATGAACTGGTAAATCCAATTTCATAAAACAAATGTAGGTAGACATAGAGGGTTGGATAAGTCCAGCCACAGGGACGGAGAGTGACTTCAGTACTTGACGTTCATCAACAGACAGAACACACAGAGAAAAGATCAATGAAGAAAACCCAGAGTTACGCTGCACCACAGAACAAGCAGACATAACAGGTGCCTACAGAATATAACGTCCACGAGATGGAGAATAAAGCTAGTTTCAGCAGTCCACAAACGCTCCCTAAAAATACACGATTTTAGGTTATACAGTAAATACAAACAAATAGAAAAAATTGAAATGATTTCTCGTGTTTTATCAGATTGTGGTGGAGAATCTAGGGGTCAATAGCAAGGCAACCACAATAATTGTACAAATACATGAAAATTGGGCAATACAACTAGTTGGAATGATCGGCAGGTCATTGAATAAATTAGGGAGGAATTAATATTATTACAAACAAATGAAGATACAAGATATCAGAGTCTTTGGGATATGAAGGTTGGTGCCAAGGGATAGGGCTGTAGTTATCATCGCTTAGATTAAAAATAAGAAAGTCATCAAATAAATAAATTAATGACCTCGAAGAGTTAAAAAATAAGACGAAGCCAAATTCTGCATCTGTAAATGGATAAAAGTAATAAGGGTCCTGGCAGAAATTAATAAAATGAAGACTCTAAAAGAACAATATAAAGAACCATTGAAACAAATAACTGGTTCTTTGTACAGATAAACAAGATCACAAATTCTCAGCAGAGTTATCTAAGAGAAAGAGAAACAATCCATGGTATTAAAATCAGAGATGCAAATGTAAAT